AAAACGAAATTAATTCATCAAACGTAGGAACTTCCGTACATTAATGCTTTTCAAATTGTTTGCGCGTTTTCGAATCTATTTTCTGAAGTACGATATTAATAACAGAATATCCGATAAATTATTTTTCTCATATTTTAAAACATTCAAAGCCCTAACGTTTTTAGTAACATATCTATTACATTTCTTATTCCTTTAGACGATTCGAATGTAAAGTACGTAAAAATATTGACTTTATATGCGTCTCAATTAATATTTTATTTTCATACCTATCTTGAAGAGCTTTAAATAGAGAATTAAAAGTTCATCAACAGTTTCAAGATTTTTTGCTTCATCAGTTAATGCAGCCTTTAAATAGTAGAGTTTCTGACTTCTGTCAGTTGCGTGTTATTCGCTATGATGTTTCGAATTGAAGCTTAAATTATTCATTCGGTATATTTACCACAGAAACTTAGGAATTGGTAATTCTGGTAAACGTATTTGTACTTTAGGATCAAATTTTATTACAATCATTTTCATTTTCAGAAGTGCGATAGATGATAGAATTTCCATAATTCTTACCCCCAGAACTTCAGTCTATCTTCCATTTCGGAGATTTCTTCTCAATAGCTGTGACATCTTTTCATCAACGCTTTCGAAATATCTATTCCTTAAGTTTCTAATATCCATTTGAATCCTTTGAAGGGATCTATACTTTATTTGAATTTCATTCTTATTCGAACTATCATCATATTCCTTCACTACATTTTCTACCTAGTTAGTTTTCGCTTTTAAACGAAGTTTTGTTTCTATCTAATCCAGCATTTTGTTTCACTTCTCCGGTTCTGCTGACCATGTACTTGTTTCAAACTATAGTGGACTGTATGCAAAAGAACTAACTAATTTATTTACAGTAATTAACTATTCATCTAATACATCTCTGGCATTTGCTAGCGAATCCAGATGGCCAAGTGAGAGTTTCTCTACTTATCCAATAGTGGCGCTGTATTCTAACTTAACATGGATATTATTGAGCAATTGAAGAAGAGCTTTTATGTAGATAATTGTTTAGCGAGTGTGAAAAATGATTTAGAATTGCAACAGTTCATACAAGTTGCTTCAGATACTTTAGCTACAAGAAAGCTAGAATTACGTGGTTGGGAATACAGTGACCCAACAGATAATTCCTCTAGTACCACAAATGTATTAGGAATGATTTGGGAACGATGTGGAGATTACCTTTGCCTTAATATTACTAACATCACCTACAATCTACCAGAAATTTTGTCTAAAAGAGAGATTTTAGCTACTACACACAAAATATTCGACCCTTTAGGAATAGCTTGCCCCGTAACTCTTGTGCCGAAACTTTTACTTCAGCACCTATGGGAAGTTAAGTTATCTTGGGACCAAGAAGTTGATTCAAATTCAAAATCACAATTTTGTAAATGGTTGAATGATTTGCAGTGTCTGGAAAGAATGAGAATACCAAGATGGTTAAACTGTGATCGTGAGATTGAAAATATCTCACTTCATTTCTTCAGTGATGCAAGTAAACTTGCATATTCAGCTGTGGCCTTTGTTCGAGTACAAACAAGAGATTCGGTTCAAGTTCATTTGGTGCAAGCTAAAGCGAGAGTTGCACCCAGCAGAAGGAAAAAGACAACAATAGCTCGATTGGAACTTCTTGGAGCTACAATATGTACACGTTTAGCATCCAGCATAATACCTGAATTTCAAGCTGATGATATTTATTTTTGGACAGATTCGTCTACTGTGCTAGCTTGGATACAGAGGAATAAAGTATGGGACGTATTTGTTCACAACAGAATTAAGGAAATAAAGCGACTGACTTCTATTGAATCTTGGAGGCACGTACCAGGATCACTGAATCCTGCTGATTTGCCCAGTAGAGGATGCTCTGCTTCTTATTTAATTAAATCTAGATGGTGGGAAGGTCCTATAAATGGCTATATTTATCACCAGAAAAATGGCCAAAGAAGATTTTAGTGCTGATGAAGAAGAAATAGCTCTTGAGAAAAAGAAAAGGATTACTTCGTCCTTAATAAATCTTAATGCTAGTGAAATAGTTGCTACTAGATTCTCAAGTTATCGTAAGACAATCAGACTGGTAGCGTGGATGTGTCGTTTTGTTTACAAATGGGGACATCAAAACAAGAAAAAGGATGAACTTACTGTATCTGAGTTAAATTAAGCTGAGAATATCTTGATTCGTTTAATACAAAATGAGTCCTTTAATGGAATAGAAGATTAACGGATTTTAAGTCTTAATCCATTCATTGATTGTGATATCATCAGAACTAAAACAGCGATATTTCAAAGAGAAGATACATCTGAGTTCAGAACTCCTGCTATTTTGCCAAGTGATCATCCTCTTATAAGAATAAGAGCTGTAAAAAATCTGGAATTATCGACTACCGAGGAATTTCCATCGAAATTCAGCGGAAGTCAACGATTCGAAAATATTTCGGTAGAGCAAACTCCAATTGATGATGTACCTGTAGAAACAAATAGAACAATCCACACCCATTTAAAATCGCCCACGTTAACCAAATCAGAAAGGACAATTAGAGTTCCTCATCGATTGGACTTGTGAGAACAATGTTTATTTTTTTATTATTTTGCAATACTCAATCCCGAATTGTGAGAACAATGTTTAATTTTTTATTATTTTGCAATACTCAATCCCGAATTTCATAGTGCAAGGTGGGAGGATGAACAATATTTTGGGTCCGTGACACTTAGCCGAAAACCACTTAGCCGACGGGACACTTAACCGACACCAGTTAGCCGACAGGACATTTAGCCGACACGGACACTTAGCCTACAGGACATTTAGCCGACACGGACACTTAGCCGACAGGTCATTTAGCCGACACGGACACAGCCGACAGGTCAGTTAGCCGACACGGACAGTTAGCCGACAGGACATTTAGCCGACAAGGACACTTAGCCGACAGAACATTTAGCAGACACGGACAGTTAGCCGACAGGACATTTGGCCGACACAGGGAGTTAGCTGTCAGGACATTTAGAGCTACGGGACACTTACCTGTCAAGACATTTAGTCAACAGGTTACTAAGCCGACAGTGACGTTTAACTGACACGTACCCAAAAATTATTTAAACTATGAATTACAAAACTTCTCGACTACTCCACAAGTTCAATATATAAGTCATATTTTTTTTCACCTATCAATAAAATTCATTTTTCGATCCTTAAATCTCATATGTGCTATTAATTATTGTGTTTAGTTTAGCATTGTTTGATATGTATCGTGCTGTTTGGTGTACATTGGCCAAATTGAAAAAGCGCGAAATTTCTCGAAAATGAATAAAACCAAACCTTAAAAAATTATTTTACTTCTAAATTAACATGATGCACTAGTTTAGGGCTATAAACATTCACCTAAGTAAGTATTTTTAAGCAGGAGCGTGGTTAATAAAATTTACAGAATTTTTATCTCAAGAATGGTGGCATGAAACTGCAAATTATAGAGGTCACAAATAATTTATACCTTTGCTTGTCTTAAAAATTCCCTTTTTTTAAAATTGTTTTTAATAAGAAAATAAATTTATTTGCTAAACTAACCCTCACCACTATGTTTCCATAAAAAGTATAATTCAAGGATAACAATTTTTTATTGCATTGCATTTTGCGGCATTTTTTTCAAGCGTAATTCTTGTATAAATTTCTTTACTTTAGTTAAAACGGTAAAAATTCTAAACGCAAAAACTTATGAACTTATTTTTTGTGTACAATAAAGTAAATTAAATAATACTGATAGCATATGATGCTTTGAAACAAATAAGGTAAAATTAAACAAGTTCTGATAATTTTCTTTGATTTTATGAGCATTTTCAGGCAGTAGTTTTTTAAATTGTTATAACACAACAAGACGATCATTTATTTGATTATATGATCATTAATTATTAACATTACAAGATGATTATTTATTTTAGCAATTCATAAAATTCGGAGCATAAACGTTTTTGAGTGTAATGAGGGAAAAAAAAAGATAAACTCTGGAAGCACTCAGCAATATAATTTTAAATTATGCCCAAAGGAGCGTTTTTGTAACGTTTTGCGTGTTACCTTTATTTATTAAACATCATGTTCTTCGCAAGTAAACCACATAAAATTCAATTCAAGAACAATTATCACAAAATATTTGAAAATGACATATCTTAAGAATTTCCGCGTTGGAGATAAAAATGTTATTTTCTGTACAGGGTTGCCATTGCTTGCTTTGAACTTGTTGAGTTTGTTAATCAAAACTTCGTTAAAGTTACAAAATATGAAATGGAATAAAACAAATTCGAAATTAGGCGTTGCAGGTGCCCATGTTCGGGTGGAGGATTACGTTATTCAAAATTTTATGGTTCTAAATTCTGTTGTTTTTTTCACAGTGCGAGAGAAACTTACATGCATTCATGCAGATTCTTCATTATTTAATTTCTTTAAATATAATACAGGGCGATAATATTTGGTGGCAACAGTTTGCAAAGTGAAACGGACATTTATAGTGAAACAAAGAAAAATGCCGTTTCGAAACTAATAGCTTTTCTGAGCTGCCGCCTCTTTGAGCTGATAAAATAAATTAACAATAAATAAGAAAACTTATGCAGAACTAGACATAAATTAAAAAAAAATAATCACTATAAAATACTAGCAGAATTAATTATTACAGTCAAATACAATTTTTAACTTTATAATAAATGCATAAAAATTATTAAAGTGTTAAAAGTGTTAATCAATATAATGTATTATGAACTATTATTGAAATAAAACTTCTTTGTAGAATATTATGCTTTATATTCAGATATAATTTTAGAAAAGCAGTACAAATAAGAATTTTAAGCAAAAACTTTCAAAAATCCCTTTTTTCAATTTTAGTATTTTATACTTAATTAAACCAACAAAAGCATAAAAATTGTAAGAGAAAATTTTTTGCTTGAATTTTTCTATTATTTCAGATTTAAAATATTACTTTTAAAAGAAGGAGATACAAATTTCCTTACAGCATAGGAAAAGCTACAAAAATATCCAGACCTGAAAGCATACAACAGCTTTATAATTATTTAGAACATCAATTATACTTGATAAACATGCTAAATTTTTAAAAATCAATCTAAGTTTCAAAAATAAAAATATCTAAAAATTCTAATTTGTGAAATGAGGTGCTATCACCAGCTTTTTCTTCAAAATTATACGCGCTGCATACTCCTCCGGATATGGGCAAGGTGACAGCCGGCAATACGCCAAGGCAAGGGAGAAAAACCCATTTGGGTTGGTCTATTTCTTATAAGGTCCATGGATACACATCAAACAATGCTAAATTAACACAATAATTAAAAGTATATATGAGATCTTTAAGAATCGAAAAATGAATTTTACTGATAGTGAAAAAATAACTTAAATATTGAACTTATGGAGAAGTCGAGAAATTTTGTAATTGATAGTAAGTTTGAATAATTATTGGGTACGTGTCAGCTAAACGTTACTGTCGGCTTTGTGTTCTGTGGATTAAATGTGTTGACAGTTAAGTGTCCCGTAGCTAAATGTCTTGACGGCTAACTCTCTGTTTCAGCAAAATGTCCTGTCGGCTAACTGTCCGTGTCGGCTAAATGTCCTGTCGGCTAAGTGTCCTTGTCGGCTGTCTTGTCGGCTAACTGTCCGTGTCGGCTAAATGACCTGTCGGTTAAGTGTCCGTGTCAGCTAAATGGCCTGTCGGCTAAGTGTCCGTGTCGGCTAAGTGTCCGTGTCGGTTAAATGTCCTGTCGGTCGGCCTAAAAGTGTCCCTGTCGGCTAAATGTCCTGTCCTATTGTCCATGTGGGCTAAGTGTCCCTGTCGGCTAAATGTCTTGTCGGCTAACTGATGTCGGTTAAGTGTCCTGTCGGCTAAGTGTCTGCGACAGCAATATTTTGACTCTAATATTTTTGTTTATATTTTTTCTAACTGCAGCTTCTGAGTAATATTGCACGAGCTTCAAGCAGATGTAATCGTTTTCTTTACTCTATAAGTTTTTTATTCATTATCTATTCATATTATTATTATCTATGTTTTGAACATAGCTAATGACGATTGGCCATATTCGAGAAGTTTGTCGCTCATTCTCAGTCTTTCGAGAATTCTTCGAACGGCTCGAAATTTATCCCCATATAAATACATAAAATAAATGGCTTGTTGATTTGGAGCTAATTCACAGTAAAATTTCATTGCGGTAATATGATTTCTAGGCGATTCTTCCACAAGTTTCCCGCGCTTTTGAATTTTTTATGACTTGTGTGACTAGTAAGTGTTCATTAATAAACATTACATTAAAAATAATAAATCGCATGAAATCGCCATTTCTTAAAAGCAGATCCTGTATACCAATGTGTGAAGAGCATGGGAAACCACCATAAGTCCTTCCTGCTGCACACTAAAATTAGATAGCGTTGATGGCTTCTTGAGGTCTTGACATGTGCACAAAAAGTAATCATTGGTTATCCATTTTCGACTCTTTTTTGAACCATCTTTTGATATGTATGTTAAATTTTGTACTGGAACCTTGCCTTTATTATCTTAAAATTTTATTTTATGTGCCCTATGCTTTCGTAACTGCCTGTGCTCGTATTTTTCTCATGTGTCGCCAGCTCGATATTACTGCTCAGTATTTATGACTACCTTGTGACTTTTGTATCCTTTACGAAATTTTCAATACTTTTATGTAATTTTGCATAACTTTAGAACTTTTAAATTTGTATTTATGTTGACATATTCGAAATGATCTATTTTTCAATGGAGGTAAGGTCACTGCACCTAGGCACTCTGGTGATGCACCATTCTACTCAGGAGGTTATCGCATTAAACATTTTTGCTTTTAATGGTTTACCTTCATTTACGCCTATACTACACATTATATTTACATAATAATGAAAATAAATTGCAATTGCAAATTTTCTGTACAGAGTAATATAAACTTCAAATGAGTGAATGTGTCTT